AGTTTAATCTTACAAACCAAACAATAATATTTTTAATATTTTTTTTTTTAATAAACCCAACCTATAACTATTTTTTGCTTTTGATAAAAATGAACATGAAAAAAATTCCGCAGCGAAAGAGTTAGCTTATTTTTTGGTTCAAACCGTAGCTTTAAAACATAAGTTATTAGCTTTTCGTCGAAAACATAACTTGTGTGATTTCCATACAAACATAAGTTGTGAGGCTTCCATTCAAAACATAAGTTATTTGATTTTCATTGTAAACATAATTTGTGTGGTTTCCATAAAAACATAAGTTGTTTGGTTTCGATGATAAATGAACACTTTATTTCGAAATTTACTCAGATAATTAATTTACTATTAAACAGAAGACAATCAAGTTGATGCCGATTCTTATTTTCACGAAATAACATACTCTCTAATATAAATTACCGGTATATCTGAATACACGGGAAAATGGAAAAGTATCATTGATGGCCTATGCTCCATTCGAAGAGAGAAGACTATCACTGGATCTTAAATCTACCAATTAAAGTGATGAACCAGAGATAAAGAAAAGTGTGTTGACTGAAAAGTTTATTTCAGTACACCAGGAATCTCGGTTTGCTTCGCTACCTGTGCACCATTCTTCTCACTGGCCTTCCCCTTATTCAGTTTATTTCCTTTTTCTATCACGTCTTCATGCGGTCACGCCCGACTTCAACAAACTATGCAAGTGTCTTAGACACTGACGCCAAGTGTGTTTAATTTAGTGCAGTGTTTTTCGAAATCTCAAATAGAATTGAAATTGATTTTCTGGTAACGATAATTTGCATTAGAACTGGTAATCTTTTCAAATAGCTTTTTTTTTTTTTTTTTTTTTTTTTTTTTTATTTTTTTTTTTTTTTTTTTTTTTTTTTTTTTTTTAACAGATCCATTGTAACGCTTCATCACGACATAAGTAAAAACCAACGGTTTGATAACTGTGCAAACTTTGCAATCGTTTCTCTGAGATGAATCAAAAAAATTGCACCGCCATAAAAACACTTCAAATAAACCAGTTTCAACAGGCAAGTATTAAACATGGCATATTTGTTTTTCATTCATATTTAATTTAATTTTTCATGAAATTGTTCTTGTTACCTCTTTTAAGCATAATTTTTAAAAGGATAAAAACAATTAGTGTAGGATGTGTTATTTTTTTAAATATGTAAGCTTTTTAGCTATTGAGGTGATATGAAATGATAATTTGGTTAATTTATGACACTATCTATTATTCTCAATATGTTTATATATATATAATGTAGATAGATAGATAGATAGATAGATAGATAGATAGATAGATAGATAGATAGATAGATAGATAGATAGATAGATAGATAGATAGATAGATAGATAGATAGATAGATAGATAGATAGATAGATAGATGGATGGATGGATGGATGGATGGATGGATGGATGGATGGATGGATGGATGGATGGATGGATGGATAGATAGATAGATAGAGATAGAGAGAGAGAGAGAGAGAGAGAGAGAGAGAGAGAGATTTCGACGATCGAAATAAGACTGTGTCCAATTAATCATACTATTCGATATGCTTTTTTTTTTTTGTATAATTAAAAACAACAAAATTCAAGCACTTATTTTTTTAGAAAGATCAATGTCTTGAAAAGAGAAAATAATTAGCAAGTATCACGGAGATGGACCTAGGATTCTGTCGTGCGCCTCTTTAATTAAAACGTTTTACTTTCTACGATTTAAAATGTTCAAATATGTCCTAGAAAATAACCGTGTAAAATATAGCTTTACACTTAATTGAAAGTCATTAGTATGAAGTCATTAAAAAAAAAAACACTTTAAAAAAAAAAATAATGAAAGCGCTCTTAATGTTTAAGCAAATTTAATAAACAACCAAATAAGTGGTGAAACTAAAAGCAATAGCCAAAATTGAAAATATACGTAATGATTTATTAATGTATTCAGATAAACTGAACCGATGGCCTTCGATAAATTTTTGAGGGACTTTATAGTAGGTACATTTATGTATTGATTAAGTTCTTGTCAAACATTTATGGAGAAACAGCACAATCTATATACATAGTTGAGAAACAGCACAATCTATATACATAGTTGAGAAACAGCACAATCTATATACATAGTTGAGAAACAGCACAATCTATATACATAGTTGAGAAACAGCACAGTTTATAGATATAGGTGAGAAAAAGCACAGTAAATGGAAAAAACAGCCCAAGCTTTAGATGTAGGTGAGAAACATCCCAGTCTATAGATGTAATGGCGAAACAGCCCAGTCTACATATTATGTAATGGAGAAACAGCACATTCTACAGATGTAATGGAGAAACATAACGGTCTATAGATGTAGGTGAGACATGGCCCAGTCTACAGATGTATTGGAGAAATGGCCCAGTCTATAGATGTAATCGAGAAACGGCTCAGTCTATAGCTGTAATTGAGAAACAGCCTAGTCTACAGATGTAATAGAGAAACAGCCCAGTCTACATTTGTAATGGAGAAACAGCCCAGTCTTCAAATGTAGTTGAGAAACATCCCAGTCTATAGATGTAATGGAGAAACAGCCCAGTCTACATTTGTAATGGAGAAACAGCCCATTCTACAGATGTTGGTGAGAAACATCCCAGTCTATAGATGTAATGGAGAAACAGCCCAGTCTACATTAGTAATGGAGAAACAGCCCAGTCTACAAATGTAGTTGAGAAACATCCAAGTCTATAGATGTAATGGAGAAACAGCCCAGTCTATAGATGTAATGGAGAATCAGCTCAGTCTACACATGTAATTGAAAAACATCACAGTCTACAAATGTAATGGAGAAACAGCTCAGTCTATAGATGTAATGGAGAAACAGCCCAGTCTACAGATGTAATGGAGAAACATCCCAGTCTACAGATGTTGGTGAGAAACAGCACAGTCTGTAGATGTAATGGAGAAACAGCCCAGGGTACATTTGTAATGGAGAAATATAACAGTCTATAGATGTAATGGAGAAACAACGTAGTCTACAGATGTATTTGAGAAACAGCCAAGTCTACTGATGAAATGGAGAAACAGCCTGGTCTACACATGTAATGGAGGAACATCACAGTCTATAGATGTAATGGAGAAACAGCGTAGTCTACAGATGTATTGGAGAAACAGCCAAGTCTACTGATGAAATGGAAAAATGGCCAAGTCTACAGGTGTAATGGAGAAACAGCTCAGTCTAATGATGTAATGGAGAAACAGCCCAGTCTACAGATGTTGGTGAGAAACATCCCAGTCTATAGATGTAATGGAGAAACATCACAGTCTACAGATGTATTAGAGAAACAGCCCAGTCTATATATGTAATGGAGAAACAGCCAAGTCTGCAAATGTAGTTGAGAAATAGCCCAGTCTACAGATGTAATTGAGAAACAGCCCAGTCTATAGATGTATTGGAGAAAAAGCCCAGGCTACAAATGTAATGGAGAGACAGCTCAGTCTATAGATGTAATGGATAAACAGCCCTGTCTACAGATGTAATGGAGAAACAGCCCAGTCTACAGATGTTGGTGAGAAACAGCTCAGTCTATAGATGTAATGGAGAAACATCCCAATCTACAGATGTTGGTGAGAAACATCCCAGTCTATAGATGTAATGGAGAAACAGCTCAGTCTAAAGATGTAATGGAGAAATATCCCAGTTTACAGATGTAATGGAGAAACAGCCCAGTCTACAGATGTAATGGAGAAACAGCCCATTCTACAGATGCAGGTGAGAAATGGCCCAGTCTACAGATGTAATGGAGAAACATCCCAGTTTACAGATGTAATGGAGAAACAGCCCAGTCTACAGATGTAATGGAGAAACAGCCAAATCTACAGATGTAATGGAGAAACAGCTCAGTCTATAGATGTTGGTGTGAAACGGCCCAGTCTAGAGATGTAGGTGAGAAAAGAATCTACAACTTAAATATAACAAGTTATTCCTTTCACTATTTGAAAAGAAAATCAGTTTATATTGTCCGGTGAAGCCCAGACACAACGTCCGACAGTTTCCAAACTGGCCAATACATATGACTGCATAACAAACAATGTATAAATGTATGAGCTGCATCGATAATGGGACACACATCAAAGTTTACTTGTTAGCTGTAATTTGTACATTTAATCATACGATTGAGTGTATAGTTTGATTTCCGTATACGCTTCGATCTCCTGCAACTATTTGTAGGACAAGGGTTTTATTCTCAGCACTACAATTTATATTTTCAAAAAAAATTCATCATGGTTTATTTAAATTATTTCATTATCACAGTATTAGAAAGTGTTATTTAAATGTAGTCACCTTTTTTTTAGATTTAATGTTGAATAAAATGAAAAAAAAACCATTCAGTTGACGCAATGTATTTTTACTAAAGTATTTTCCTTCGAAATTTATCATAAAGTAAGCAAATGAAAACCTCCATTTCTTCTAACTTAGATAACCAAGCCACAGAGACGTCAGTATTCGAGTCAATAATATAAGGTCGAGAGGAAACTCTCACGAACTTTTATTTTTGTACTTAAGTAAATACGGAGTAAGTTCCTATAGTTCGTTACAGTCATGTCCAGGAAGTGATAAAATTATTTGTGTCGGATGCTGAAAAATGTACCCCACCTTCGTCTAACATTGGTTTTTTTACGCATGACCGAATTTTTGTCCCTTTAGTTGCTTTAAACTGTAATGGTGTGAGATGGGAACACCCTGTTTGCATACACTTCATAGGTCTTTCTTTGCGCTGAGGATAATAAGCGGTATTGAATAGGCGCGAGGGTGTGTACTCCTACACCTCCCTCTCTCACTGAAATACTTTCACAGGATGCATTAGAGGTAACCAGGACGGACGGGAAGCTCCTAATGACACTTGTTCATGGTATTAAGTCCATCTAGCAGGTGCAAGTTCATTAGCTAGAGCTAATTCATTAATCTTGAGCAAGTTCATCTAGCAAATGCAAGTTCATTTAGCTAGTGCAAGTTCATTAGCTAGAGCTAATTCATTAATCTTGAGCAAGTTCATTTAGCTAGTGCAAGTTGATTTAGCTAGTGCAAGTTCATTAGTTCAAGTTCATTATGATAGAGATGTGTAATGAAACAAGTTTTAAACTTTAGTGAGAGTTCATCGCTTCATCCTTGTAAGTAATGTCACACCTTGAATATTTCTGGTTTTTTTTCATCACGGCATCCTTACGATTCAGTTCTCGATTTATTAACGTTCGTTATAACTAACATCACAATTCAAAGATATTGTTATTAACATAGAATATCCCTTTTTTTAAAAAACAAAAAACGTACTTTTTACTCTTGTTTTATCTGAGCATTTCTTTCAACTTTATTTTATATTCCTAGCGTATCATTGAAATAAAATGTACTGATCAATATTTAATATGTGGTAAAATGACAGCTTACATAAATGATTTTAACATATAAACAAATAGTTTATATCCAGATACTTGCCGCATAAACCTTGGAACAGACGACCGCCTGAAAGGGAAATCATTCGTAAAGGAAACAAAAATGCATGAACTTACCTAATTAAGTTCATAAGCTTATTATAGTTTGTTTACTTACACTTTGCGTTTAACTGTTTTATTTTGACATGTTCAGATCTTAAGCACCATGCAGCCCAGTGTGATGATTATGGTCTGTCTCCTAGTTGTTACCTGTAAATCTGATCTCTCACTCATCGTGCACTACAATGAACTAAGCAGCTGGCTAGTGTCGTTAGATAACTATCACCTGGACAGGTAATTTTTCATTACATTTGAAAGTTTTAAAAATCACTTCTATGCCTAGTACTCACATCCTGTTGCGTCACTTTCTGTTCATTTTAAAACAACTTGAAATAGAGCGTAATGATGAATTTTAATTGTAAGTAAACAGTTTTAAAATAAATAGATACAAGTGGATATAGTTTCTAATTGTATAAATTTAATGCTATCCGTCATTTAAAATAGTTAAGTTTAATTATGTTCTAATTTTGGAAATCAGAATTTATATAAACGTGTTGAATTAATTTATTGTTACATGGTTGCGTCTCTTGCCAGATTCCTGCAATGCTTATGCCTTGAAACTTCAATCGAATGCAATATTGGCTTAAATACGAGGTCCGGATATGCTACTGGAATGGATGTGAGAACGAGGAATCAATCAGCAGCAACATCTCAATTTTTTAATCGATATGTGTGCACATTCTTTTACTCAAATCATTCGGTTGTTTGCAAAAGGCAATCACGTGAGTTTTACGACAACAACACAGCTCTCTTTCTCGTGGATAGCTCATCAATGTGTCAGTTAAATTGTGTGGAATGGAGCTGGACTTTTCAACAGACTGTCTCGATATATAAAATAAATAACAATACAGATATTACCCTGAAGTATAACGAGACCAATTTAACATGCATCTCAACTACAACAAAGGTAACATCAGTAATATCAACACAAGTCACAACAAAAACGACTGTAGCTTCAAAAATGGTGGCAAGTACATCAGTAACATCAACACAAGTCACAACAGAGCCGACTCTAACTTCAACATTGGCTAAAAATGGTTCACAAGTAACAACTACAGCGTTCACTAAACATGACATCAACGAAGGTGATGAAAATAATAATGACACTACCTGGATTATAATTGGTGTTGTCATTGGCGGTGCCGCCATACTTGCTTTAGTCGTTGTCGCCATCGTTCTATGCCGAAGGCGATGCGTGCGCGCAAAGCCAAGAAACCAACAAGATAATCCCCAAGGGTCAAAGGGGAAACATGTTGAAAATCGTGTCACAAATAATGACCAGGGATATAGTAACGCTAATGTGGTCATTGATCAGACCACGAATGACTGGCGTGGCGGTAGGAGTAATCCTGCATTTAATCACATATCGCCTGACCAACTGGATTTGGGTCACATGCCATTCATCAAAATATTAGTTGAAAATAAGGTTTATTTAAATCAATCGTGTGGTGGCCACATCCCTGTGCAGTCTAACTCAAATGACCTCGGATCTCATCCAAATAAGAACACGATTAATGATAATGATAGCGTAGCGAATGGATATCGCAGCGAACCAACACACATTCATTTATTAAAAACAGGCTCTGTGGGCACGTATTCTAACAAAACTTCAGTGCCAGCGAGCACATATTATTCTATCCCACCTGTAGATCCAGTAGGCACATACTCTAACGTGCATATAGAGCCAGCAAGCACATATTCTAGCACACCGGTAGATCCAGGAGGCACATACTCTAACATACGTGTAGAGCCAGTAGACACATATTCTAGCACACATGAAGAGCCAGTAGACACATATTCTAACATAAAAATGCAAAACCAGCTACCAGAAGAACAGAATGCTAGTTCTCTTACAGCGAACACATCCTTGCCTCACTATAGCCTAGCTGCCGTCATCAACACATACCCAGCAATAATTCAGTTGACGTCTGTAGAAAAAGAAAACACGGCACAGACCCCACAGTTGTATGATAAACTTGGTGGAAAAGCCGCACCACAACAAAACGGCTATGACTGTATCTCAGACACAATGATAAATTAAATGACAAGCCATGCCACATATATAGCAACTCAATCTTAACAACACTCATACTCATGTTATGTATCTTTAGAGCTATATTTATTTGTTTAGACCAGGGGTCTCCAAACTTCTCAGCCCGAGGGCCGCATTAACTATTAATCAGCATTTCGGGGGCCGACTACACACTCGAGGTCCTAATAAAAAAAAGATTCAAAAACAGGGAAGTTTTTTTTTTTTTATTATGTATGTAATATTATTTCATTCCGTTATTATTTAATAACACATTGATATTCCACACATGAACACCTGTATTAGTTCGAAAGGTGAAAATGTTTCCTGAATGCTAAAATAGCAGTGATGAGCAGCGTTTCTGGATTTAGATGTGACGTCCATAACATCAACAGTGACCTGATATCATTATCGGACAAATTAGTTCTCAACTTTAGAGGTAGAACAGCTGTCCAGCGATTTATCCATTGCATTTAAAAATTGGCTCCGCCATTAGATGGCGTTATATCATCTCACTGACTGTGAATGGAAGGAGAAAAACGAAGCAGTGAATAAGGTTTTGTAATGCAGTGATCGGTTAGAAAACATAACGCTCCACTGCACGCCTCTATTTTAATTCGGTAAAAACATAACCTCCGTGTAAGTGGTGGCTGATCTTGGCAGGATGCATGTAAATTTCCGTAATTTTTTTCCCTTAGGCTAAAAGGTCTTCGCGGGCCGCATGAGAGGGCCTCGCGGTCTGCATGCGGCCCGCGTGCCATAGTTTGGAGACCCCTGGTTTAGACCAATAGCTTACAAAACACGAATTTTATCTTAACATATATTATTAATTATTATACGTGGTTTTATATAGCGTGGAACCCCAGCCTAGGGCTATAGGCTCACCACGTTGTACATCCAGCCTAGGGCTATAGGCTCACCACGTTGTACATCCAGCCTAGGGCTATAGGCTCACCACGTTGTACATCCAGCCTAGGGCAATAGGCTCACCACGTTGTACATCAAGCCTAGGGCTATAGGCTCACCACGTTGTACATCCAGCCTAGGGCTGGGCTCACCACGTTGTACATCCAGCCTAGGGCTGGGCTCACCACGTTGTACATCCAGCCTAGGGCTATAGGCTCACCACGCTGTACATCAAGCCTAGGGCTGGGCTCACCACGTTGTACATCCCGCCTAGGGCTATAGGCTCACCACGCTAAACATCCATCCTAGGGCTGGGCTCACCACGTTGTACATTCCGCCTAGGGCTATAGGCTCACCACGCTGTACATCCAGCCTAGGACTGGTCTCACCACGTTGTACATCCAGCCTAGGGCTATAGGCTCACCACGCTAAACATCCATCCTAGGGCTGGGCTCTCCACGTTGTACATACCGCCTAGGGCTATAGGCTCACCACGTTGTACATCCAGCCTAGGGCTGGGCTCACCACGTTGTACATCCAGCCTAGGGCTATAGGCTCACCACGTTGTACATCCAGCCTAGGGCTGGGCTCACCACGCTGTACATCCAGCCTAGGGCTATAGGCTCACCACGTTGTACATCCAGCCTAGGGCTGGGCTCACCACGTTGTACATTTAGCCTAGGGCTATAGGCTCACCACGCTGTACATTCAGCCTAGGGCTGGGCTCACCACGTTGTACATCCAGCCTAGGGCTGGGCTCACCACGTTGTACATCCAGCCTAGGGCTATAGGCTCACCACGTTGTACATCCAGCCTAGGGCTGGGCTCACCACGTTGTACATCCAGCCTAGGGCTGGGCTCACCACGTTGTACATACAATGTAACAAACATAATATAAAAAAACTTTTAAAAAAATTAATTGAAAAACATTAATTAAATAAAACAAAACAAATGCATATTTAAATCTATTTACATCTCAAGCCATGGATGACACTCAGTACCATCGTTATTCGGGCAGATGTGGGAATCATTCAGGATAGTAGTAATTAAAGAGATGTGTTTTAAGTGCAGTTTTGAAGGTTGTGATGGTCGGTATATTGCCGATGTATGATGGAGAGAATCCCATTGTTTGGGGGCACAGAAAGAGAACGATCGTTCCCCTTATGTTTTTGTGCGAGTCTTGGGGACAGAAAGAATATACACTCGGTGAGGAAAAAAGTCAAAGAAAAAAAAATCAAAGTTAAACTTTTATGTAACTGTAATTTTATTTGTAAGTCCATACAAATGTTTATGATAGACTAAATAACAACGCACGTAAGAGACGGTTCATTATTCTCTAATTCTCGCTTGGGATTAAACATGTGTGTGTTATTTGTGTTATGTATACATATTATATTCTCACATTTTATTCTATGATTTATTCATAATTTGTTACGTTGTCAGGCATGAAGCCTATTAACACGAATATTAAAGATTGAATAACAATAAATGGTAATTAGCGATTGTGCAGAGGTTAATGTCTCTTCCACGTGATTGTCATTTGATTCTCACCTCTTATCTCCCCGTCACATCGCACATAATACAGGTACCAAAGAAAAAGCAAAGGACATGGCATTGTGATACTAGTTTTGTGATAACTCTATTAATGGCCCCAATGTTGTCAATGTGTAATTGGACCGAATAATATAAAATTCATTTTTTTCCCCAATCTTATAATAATTTGCAAGTGTTCCTCCGGCTGTTCTCATAAAAAGAATTCAAAGTTATTTTTTTTTACAATGTTTTACTTTCAGACTTCTCTATTAATTTATTGTATGATACTCACCAATGAAAGCAATTTGTGTAAAGGTGTCAGATTTTCAGCTTTTGTTATTTTCTTCATATCACTATTTTTCCTGTGAAATTCGGTCCCATTTACTGATAGTTAGTCTATCATAAACACTTATTTGGACTTGGAAATAAAATACGGTTAATAAAAAATGATTTCTGTTTTTTTTTTTGTTCAAGTAATTTTTTATGTGCCTTTTTTTCTTACAATCATACACATGTTTACCCAAACGAAGTGACCATCGAAAAATGTTGACAATTTAAGAAGGTGTTCAGTTCATGTTAAACTCTCATCATTCTAGACATTACAATGTTTTATTTCGTTTTAATTTATATACAGTACTACGTAAAGTGTGTAGTTCCTTTCATTTCTATTGACCCTAAACACAGTGTGTATCATATTTTACGTGTTATATTTTGGAAGGTGAGTTGATTTTGTTCCTGGGGTTTCAGCATTATTTTTCCCAAGATAGAGGAAAGACGTCATTATTGTTAACGTGATGTCCTTTTAGGTCCATACATTTAGCCCAGCACTTGATGTCCATGTGGGGTTTACAAACCATCCGAATATTACGTCATGAAGGCTATTGCAATGATTTAAGGGTAGAAGGTTTTAGTGCTATGTATTTACTATCGAATAAAGTAGATTTTAACGTTCATTTTTTAGATGATGAAATGACTTCAACAGGGGCAGTCATGCCAAACCACGAGTAGTTAAGTACCGCAAACGTCATAGAGAACCATAGTCACGAACCACGAGTAGTTAAGTACCACACAATGCCATAGACAACCGTGGCCACTAACCACGAGTAGATAAGTACCATTCAATGTAATAGACAACCATAGTCACTAACCACGAGTAGTAAAGTACAACACAATGTCACAGACAAACGTTGTCACGAACATTGTGATGTCATGAACCCTGTTAAGAAACTCATGATGTAACATACCACGAGATGTCACGTACCATCACTGCCAACTTCAACATTTGATATTAACATGTATTGCACTGTAGCCGTTGTCATGCCGAATTAGCCAAAAATAAAACCTGTCTTCGTAACTAATAACCAAACCATTGACTAAATCCGTGATGCTTAACGGTCACAATGGGTATAGGCCATGGGAAAGTTTCTGAGAGGGTGAGTGATAGGCGGTACAGATTCTACATCTAATTGAAACAATCATAAAGCCCCATTGTTTTAAGAGAATGATTCACATAATACGACATAATGGTTTAATAAAGTGTAAGCAAAGCTCCGATTAAGGGTCGTTGCTTAGTGGGGGACGTCACAGATGATTCATTGTTTTTCAAATAATGCATGTTTGTTAAGATATGAAATGTTAGTTGCATTTGTTAGAGTAGCTGGATGTGTCTTTCAATCAAACAAACGAAACTCTTTAAAACAAACTAAATAACTTTAAACTCTAATTCCACTGGCTAATGCGTTACTGTTAAATGAATGTAAATGACCAGCAGTGGCACAAAATATACACAAATCTCTCCTAACTTTGACCTGTGTGTGTAGATGATTTTATTACCCGTTTTAATCCGTTGATTTGTCTATTGACGTTAAAAGAATAAATGTGTGGATATTAAAATAGTTCTATAATGGTTCATTACTGATTTCATGGATTTTGTTCATAGATAATTATCGATTTATTTATAACATACTTTGAGTGATCTGGTTGTTAAAATGAAGGGAATGTACAATAAAAGCTTTAAAAAATTATTTTTTTATCATGTGCGCACAATTTTTAACGATATTCATCTTTAAAGGCTTCTCAAGTGCTCCCGCCATGTACACTTAAGAGACACTACAAAAAGGACTCCGCTCTAGTGAGCTATTCTTATTGAAATCCTTGTTTTAAAAATAAGAAGCAGGAAACACATGCTGGCTTAGCGCACTGCCGGCCTATCCATTAACGAACTGCCGGCCTATCCATTAACGCACTGCCGGCCTATCCATTAACGAACTGTTGTCAGGCAAGTAAATTTCAATGGTGTTACATATTTTAAAAAATATATATATTATTACCAGTTAACGAAATAGGATGCCAAGGAATAACATTTAAATTTAACTTTTTTAACTGATATAGTTGTAAGATAATTGATTTTTTTTTAACTTTAAATATGCAGATTAAAAAACAACAACATGAATTTAAAATGGAAGCTATCATTATTTAAAGTTTTTTAAATGTGTCATTGATCTTGTCATGATTTGTAGAAAATGTGCCCAGCTGTGAGGTACGCTACATTACTATTGGGGCTGGCTTCGTTGATATATTGCACGACAACTGGCTTAGAACTCAACGTGAAATACAACTGTAACAACAGCACATGCACCTCATCACAATCATTTAATTTCTCGGATGCTGATTTGAAATCGTACGTACTCATTTAAGTTATTATACGTTTTACTGTGATTTTGCAATAATTTATACATTTAGCAAGGAACTGTACAACTAAGGAAATAAACCCAAAGAACGAGATCCATATTAGAATCCGTGTAAAATAATTTGTTGTTGTTGTCGCCCCTTAAACCCCTCCCCAACCCCTATATTACGCACCAAACTCTATGCACACATTTCTTCAGGTCAATGCTTCATTTTATTACAAGTAAACCATGTTTTTCACGGGCATACTGTGACACTCAATTTTATATTATCACTACAAAAAATAAAACCTCATTGTTTAAATGTATCACCTTGATAAGAGAGTTTTATCCTTTCAGTTTCAATCAGTCAAAGAAAGCTTTCTCAAAAAAAATTTTTTTTTAAATATCTAAATTTTAAACATTTTAATGAAGATATATTTTGACTTAGGTTACTGAAGATAAATTATATTGATCAGAATGTTGACAAAAACAAAAACATATAAGACTTACATTTTGAGACAAACCATACAAAAGAAGAGAATAATTTTCTCTAAATTTCCTTTCAGTCTTCGTGATTGCGTGTGTCAACTATCGTGGGATGACTGTTCGTACGATCACATTGGCAATGAAGAGGGCTGGAAATGGAGAGCAAATAAATCGGCCAAGGTTTCAAGACATGCACAATTTAATCACTTTGAGTGTCAACTAGTTCAAACTGATAGCATTGCATGCGGCAGACGAGAAATCGGAAACATCACAAAGTACAAGGGCTTCTTGCATAAAGACATGTCGGAGGGTATCTGTGCAAGGATAAGTTGGAATGCTCAACAGAAAGCTTATTTCATTCCAAATAAAAACACAATATTCAGTGTTGAAAATGAGCTGACTGAAAACATAAAGACATTATCATCAATTAGGGCTATTCTATCAACGGTTACAACAATAGGCATAACGAATTTAATGAGAACTGAATTCATCATTTTTCAACAGACCTCCAAAGAATATTCAACGATGCCTTTTGACACCAATGGCAACTCAACTGCAAATCACAACTATACAGAGAAAGAATTTATAGTGGACAATACCATTATCATCGCTTGCATTGTGGTTGGTATCCTTGCAATTGTTTCCATTGTTTTCGGAACAGTACTTCTGTTCGTTAAACGTAATGGCAAGACGTCAACTAACGCAACGACTGATGCGATTGAAGGCGACCGTAATTATGATTATGTTACTATTGACAGTGACATCCTTGAAAGTACTGTCCCATGTCCTGCTGACGCCATCACAGATGAATCCAAATGGAAGCAGTCATCAGAAACACAGCACTACTCCACAGCTTCTCAGGAAATTCATTTAGACGTCAGACACTGGGGATCAGAACACCAGCGAAATCGTGTGAGCAGTGACAGTTCAATGAAACCAGCTGCCTTGAATGTGTATTCCAAGCTTAGTGAAGAAACAAAGACATTCCAGCACCTTTACAACACAGAATCAGACATTGTAAGCTTGTTAGATAATTCGGGCATTACACCAGTGGTGTCATCATCGACTACAAACGTATAGTCTACATTGGGGAACTAACGTCTGCTTCCTAGCCATTCTCACTCCCAATGGAGCATAGGCCATCCACAATACTTTTCCATCTGACCCTGTCCTGGGGTATCTTTTCTAGTTCAGCCCAGCTTTTCTTCACGTTTTCACCTCTGTCTCTACTCCTCTCTTCCATGTGGCTCTTGGTCTTCCTCTTTTCCTAGTACTATGAGGATTTCAGGGCCTGTCTTGTGATGTTGGTGTTTGGCTTCCTTAATGTGTGTCCTGTTCATCTCCATTGTCTCATTTTTATCTATATTTCCACCGGAACACTTGACGCTCTCTCCCAAAGGACAGTGTTACGAATTCTGTCAAGCAATCTTATTTGAGGAGCCTTCACAAGCATCTGTTTATAAAAACCTGCAGCTATTTAATGTTTGTTTTTGTTGTTCTCCAAGTTTCACAGCCATACAGAAGAAGGACCTTGATGTTTGAATTAAATATTTTTAACTTTGTTTTATGTCAGTATTTCACTTGGGTTCCAGGTGTTTCGCAAGAGAACCAGATAGAGACATGAAAATCTTAAAATTTTCTATCAAAGTAAAATGTCAGATGTTTTCAGAACTCTAAAATAATAAAATATACATATTTCTTTAATTTTAATAAATTGGAGACAGCAAAAAAAACAAAAAAAAAAAAAAAAAAAAAAGTCAGATTTTTTAAAAAATCTAAAAAAAAAAAAAATAAAAATTTCTTTAAATTAAAAAAAATGGAAAAAAAAAAAAAAAAAAAAAAAAAAAAAAAAAAAACCATTATCTTTACTCCTTAAGAGAAAAAAACAATTCTATCTTTCAAATCAGATACTTAATTACTACTCCTATCACATTTTTTAACCGCCAAAATAAAACGTTTTTTAATTTTTATTAATGAGGTTAATTATTAAAATTTAAGGTTTAAGGGATCGCTTTATCACATTCTTGGATTCATGTAATTTTTAAACTAGTGACAATGGAGGAAATGTATCTCCAATGTACAATGGCATGGGAAATAGAGGCCGACCGAAAGTGATTTTCTGATTTCGACCGAAGCCGAAAATAGGCCGAAAGTTTAAAAATGACTTTCGGCCAAAACCGAAGAAAGGCCGAAAGTTAAAAATGAATTTCGGCTGAAACCGAAGCCGAAGCCGAAATCGAAAATGAAATGTTAAGATATTTTGAAATTCGTTCCCGCATACATTCTGCATACATCGAAAATGATGTGGGAAAGTATAAATATGTACATTCTTTTTATAACAATGAGATAATCGTGAATATTAATAAATAAACATCTAATATAGGGATCTCAAACTCGCGGCCCACAAGCCATTTGTGACCCGCAACACTATATTTTGCGGCCCGCTACATGACAGAAAAGTTTAGTGTAAATGCGCCGGCCCATTTCCCCATTATCATATTTATAACGTGACTCTCCGAGACGGTTTCAGTCGAATCTCACCGACTAGTCTAATTCTGATTTTTTTAAAAATGTTTCTATATATTTTTGTATGCAACAGTGAGTAGGTGGATGAAAGTGAATCCTAGTTCTCGAGAACCCTTAATGATTTCATTGTTACTTATAAAGGTTGAGCAATTGTAACAGTTGTAATCGCTTTTTTGTGGATTACTTGATGCGGCCCACTCTCAAACACTACCTCCTGCGCCCCCCCCCCCCTAATGATTTTAGTTTGAGACCCTTGATCTAATGAATACTTTAGATTTTACCATTTTAATATAAAAGTAATTTAAATTGCTTTACAATTTTTAACAATTAGTATGGTGGGAGAAAATTTGGAAAATATTGGGGTGGGGGGGGGAATTAATGCAAAATATTATTTTTTTAAACCGGGTCTCTAAAAATTGTTGTTCTAAAGGATCGCTTAATTTGTTTTTAAAGATCGTTTAGTTGGTTTTTATTGATCGATTAGTTTGTTCTTAAAGATCGGTGTGTTTGTTCCTAAAGATTGCTTAGTTTGTTCTAAAATATCGCTGTTTAATCTTAAAGATCGCTAAATTTGTACTTAAAGATAATTTAGCTTGTTGTTAAAGATCGATTTGTTTGTTCTTAAAGATCTTTTAGTTTGTTCCTAAAGAAAATTTAGTTTGTTTTCTGTTAAAGATCGCTTAGTTTATTCTTATAAATCATTTAGTTTAGTATTAAAGATCATTTGTTTTGTTCTTAAAGATCATTTAGTTCGGTCTTAAAAATCGTTTAGTTTGTTCTTTAAGACCGTTCATTTTGTTATTAAATATCGCTTAGATAGTTCTTAAAGATCGCTTAGCTTGTTCATAAATGTCATTTAGTTTGTTGTTAAATATCGTTTAGTTTGTTCTCAAAGATCGCTTAATTTGTTCTTAAATGTCGCTTATATTGTTGTTAAATATCGCTTTCGCTGAGTAATAAATGACCGAAAACCTGAGTCACTTTCGGACGGATGGCCGAAAGTCTAAGTCAATTTCGGCCGAGACCGAAGAAAAACCGAAAGTTAACTTTTCTCTTTCGGCCGAAACCAAAATTAAGCCTAAAGTTAACTTTTATGTTTCGGCCGAAACCGAAACTTGGCCGAAAGTGATAAAATAACCACTTTCGGCGCCGAAACCAAAGCCGAAGCCGAAATTCGGTCAGTCTCTAATGGGAATACTCAATATAACTAATACTACAAAATATATTAAAATCAATTTTAAATACTTTTTCGGCTTTAGAGACTGATTCAATTTTTTTAATGGTGCACATTATACACCAGATTGAGAAGCCGCGACTCATCTCCCTGCTCACCCACTTACATGTGGTCCGAAAGCAGAACTTCTAATTGGATGAAACATGTTGGTCCCTTTGCTTATCGTCTGCTGAAAATCGCTTTTAAACAAAATTCTTTCCGGAGACAGGAAAAAAGATTTTATTAAAATCTCTAAATTTGCATCTTACATATAAAATGCTTTTCCACATTACATTTGAAGACTTATGCTGGTGAAACTGGGATTGACAAAAGGAAACTGGCCAAAGTGTCTTTATTGATAGCATTTGCAACTGTTGATTTTTGTTTTAAAATTTGGATAATTATTATTGAATATAAAAAAAAAATTGTAAAATTTCACTAAGAAGACTTGTTTTTATCTTGTTACCAAGGTCATTTTTTAAACTAATGTACTATTGTATGGTTTTTGCTCTTTACATAAGCATTCTTAATGAATTATTAGCAATTCTGTTGTCGTATAGTAGGCATAAACTTTTGGGTTTTGCCTCTTAGTAGTTAAAATATTTCTAAATATATATATACATTTTGCACTTTTACCGCTACAAATAGACATTCAGGGAAATTTTAGCAAAAACCACTTTTCCAGCTCAATAATATAATTGGAGACAATGATAAGATTAGGCAATGGTAAAGAAGAACCATAAATTAAGGGAAAACAGCAAAATGACAAAACGAAAAAAAAGAAGTATCGACAGAAAGCCTTCTTTAGTGGAGCAAAAGAAGCGAACAATAAATTCTAAGATATATAATTTATCTGAAATGAAACGTTTGAGAAAAATCCAAAAAAATATCCGCTGAAAATGATTACCTGAAATTTGAAGTTACATGACCAGGTCGTAGTAACTTCTGAATCAGTTGCAGAATTTGTATCCAACTACCAAGAGATTAGCAGTTAAAGTCTAAACAGTGTTTGGGTCACAGTGTTATCACAGACTAACATTTGGATAAATCACTGTGATTATCTTTGACTTCATATCAACTATAATATGGGATAATACTGAGTAGAAAAAGAACAATTCATTTATCTCAATGACAGTTTTCAGCAACAATGACAATATAATAGTGTGTTTTTTTTTCAATACAATTAGTGAACTAAAAAAGTGCTGAATTTCAGTACTGAAATAAAGTTAATGTTCCCAGTTAGCTAGGTTCATTGTATAACTCTCATGCAAATAAATTTTAACCTAAAAATTGGTGACGAATTTACGATGAAATGACTTATGGTGACTTAATGGATTTTATGTCAACTTAGATCGTAGTAGCTTAGGTATACAATCAACTCTTGAACATGTCATCGTAGATCGTAGTAGCTTAGGTATGCAGTCAACTCGGCAACATGTCAACGTGGATCGTAGTAGCTTAGGTATGCAGTCAACTCGAGAACATGTCAATGTAGATCGTAGTAGCTTAGGTATGCAGTCAACTCGGGAACATGTCAATGTAGATTGTAGTAGCTTAGGTATGCAGTCAACTCGGGAACATCCCGGGCACGGCCCTCCGGGCATGCCAAAACCAAACTTTGGTCCACAGTCCTAAAAGTTTGGGTACCACGGGTGTTTGCGTGAAGGCAATACTTCAACGATAAGCCAACAAGTCGGTCACGTGACGTTATCGTTAATACACATCCATGTTCGTCCTTCAAATTAACAAGACAACGACATGAATGAGAAAACAAACTGTCGGGTATGTACATCATAGCCATAGCTGTTTAACGTGTGCCCTTTTATTGATCAATGTTTCACTTAGTTTTTTTACAACCAACGTCATCCATTGGGGATGGATTCCATGGTAACGGATATGTGTCGTTTTCGTTTTAATGAGTTGTTTTTTAATCAAAAGCTGGGTAAATTTCACTGTATCATTTAAGGTAAATCTTTAGGTATTTCGGTCAAAATGTTTTTTTTTTAAAGTTTCAATAGTGGCATTTGGAAGTTATTATAAATCAACAATCTTACTTTGACAAGTCTAACTTAATAGAGAATAGAGAGTTGTTTTTTTTAAAGTCTTATCTTGCAAGGTAAATGTTTATCATCGGAGGGGTACCGGTATGTGTCCTTAAGATGCCATGTCAATAACATATTTGTTGTCTTATTTTTCTTTCCTTCTTTTTTTTTCTTTGTTTTTTTTTTTTCTTTGTTACTATTTCAGCTTAGTTATAGTGTCTCAGAAAGTAAACTGAATATTAATTATAATAAAAATTATTAAAGATTTATAAATGTTTATCATCGGAGGGGTACCGGTATGTGTTCTTAAGATGCCATGTCAATAACATATTTGTTGTCTTATTTTTCTTTCCTTCTTTTTTTTTCTTTGTTTTTTTTTTTTCTTTGTTACTATTTCAGCTCAGTTATAGAGACTCAGAAAGTAAACTGAATATTAATTATAATAAAAATGATCAAAGATTTATCAGTGCGTCATGTATTTAATCTTCTTCTACCATCACCATCTCTGTCTTATCGAGCATGCATCACCTCTTAATACTTAGCGCAAATACACATTGTGCTTTTATTAGCAGGCCTTGCATTTAGTTGATTTGTTTTTAAACGCACTTTTCGGTCATGCAAACTATACATTTCTAGATATAGATGATTAAGCTCTTACATGAACGCAACGACGGCAGGCAGGTTTGTTTTCAAGGGTTTGAGCATAAACTAATCAGTAGTTACAAACGTACATGTTACAATCGGGTAAGACAGTGGTATCGTTTCCAGAAGAAATAAAGAAGAAATAATATGATGAGATTTTATGATTATCCTTTTTAAGTTAATGGAAAAATTATAATGGATATTGATAACCGCAATGTTCATGTCACATAGAACAGGAAAATTGAAGAAAATGAGACTCCATTGCTCTGAAGGAATTTTGATCCTATGGCTTGCTTCAGTTGTGCAACTCAATGCATCCACGTTTGCTTTCTCTTTGAGTTACTGGGGTAGTTATGGATACTATAAGATTATTTTCTCCACTAGACAATTGGTGAGGTAAGGGATCCTTTGTTTTAATCAAATGTACTTTAATATAGGAAATAAGTACAAACATCCAATTAATCTCCTAAAAAGTGTCTTTTATCTTGTGAGACAATAAATATTGATTTTTAAAAATAAAAAAAATAAAAAAACTCGTTTACCTTACTTGATAAAACTCCATGCATTGATGAAATGAACATTTTTTGGTTTCAAATTTTAGTTTTAATAAACAAATTATAATAAAATGTATATGCATTTCGTACGTAAATAAATAGGCAATGCACATACTTAAAGTTAAAATATAAGTCTACACTACTGTACTACGGTCTAAATTCTAAACACAAGTATTTATCATTTACTGCCAATTAGAATGGCTTTTATTACATAATTTTTAAGTTCTATTTCCAAACCCAGTTTAAATTCTTTCTTTAAAAATGTTTCAGGTTTCGCCACTGTGTATGCAATACTTCCATTCAAACATGTGTTCTTGATTTACATGTGTCAAATGCCGAGATTAGTGTGACAGACATTAAACCTTATAATATTGTATACAAAGGCAATTATTCCAATTACTATGTGTGCTATTTTAATATCCAGGAAATTACATGCGAAAGACAAATTCTAAATTATTATCATAACGAGGCTCTTTTTCATTTTGACAACGCATATGTGTGCGAGTTGGCGTGTGTAGGAGTAGGTTGGTGGCCTTCCCAAGAAGTATCTATAGATCCAACTAACAAAGGTATGGTTAACTTAGGTCCTGTGCCAGCAGTCTGCTCTTCCACTACATTGACTACAACAGTTGAAACAATAGTCTCGTCGTCGACTACAGTTTCACAAGCTACCCACAATGTTAGTGATAAATATCGATTTAAATCAGAGGGAAACGATAGCGCAACTGGTACAATCATCGGTGTTATCTTTGGCGTTGTAGCTCTGTCGGCTGTTGTATCAGGATCTATAGTTCTTTGGAGAAGAAAGAAAAGCTATGAAAATAATGTGAGCCAAGCCCTGCCCGTTAACAGACCATTAGAAAGTCCAATATCGACATATATTTCTTGCGCCAATGGAAGTAGTGTGTTAACAACAGATGAAAATTATTATTATGAATTAGAAAACAATAATAGACATCTTGATAATGACACAACTATACGTTTTTGTGGGAGCAATCAAGAAAATCTCTCAATGGAAAGTCCGGCTGATAACTATGGACCAAATGTTGTGAAATCATCAAACTCCTCTAACAATGAAATACGTAATGGTGATGGCCAAAGTAAAGATCCACAAAACGGAGTGTACAGTCTTGCTTATTGTAACGCTGAAGATACAGGTTCAGATCCCAACGAGTTCACCTTAGCTAACAAAATATATCAGGATGGGGTCGATTCAGATCAATCACAACCTTTTGCAACTTATTTTAATTTAAATAACGATCTAAAAGATAGCAATCCAAGCTATTCAAATGTCTGCAGTGTCGAATCTTCACTTGGGAACGGACTTCAAGTAGATATAAACCCGCCTGTTCTAAATTACAATGATGGAAGCATAAAAAAGCTACAAACAGGACAGGCCAACGTTTATTCGAAACTTGGTCAACAAAGTAAGGATTTGCAACACCCTTATAATTGTCTTTCTGATGAAACAGTCTTGTCAATACATTAAAAAGCAACAATTAGATTTCAGCGAAACATTTAACAGCGTCAACGAGTATTTCATAATCTTCCAGAGCAACGTTCAAAAGGTGACTCGACTGCACCTGTGATTCTGTCATTTTGTAATAGTTTTTGGAAAGAGAAAAAAGGAAGGAGGGTAAATTTTTTTTTAAATTAATTTTTTGTTTAAATTCGGCTAAATAAATTAAGTTTTCTATAGGTTTGGAAAAATTCAGGAACTCATTTACGATTCAAAGTCCAGACTGTTCAAAATGCCAATATACACCTAAGGACCTAACACATATTCTGACCTCGCAATGATTCACTGAATAGTTTCCTACAGACCATCTTTGGAAAACAGCAAAAATTCAGATTAAAACTTCTATGACTCAAATCAAGCTGCAAGACTAACTACTCAAACCTTCAGAAAAATAAATCATCAACCAGATTTTTTTTTTTTAATGAATGAAATGTAATTTAGACAAATCTGTAAAATATATTCAACACAGCCAATCTTGAAATTTAGCGTGTCTTTAAATGTAATATTTTTTTTCCATTTAATAATCTGTATTTATTGGGACGAATTTTGGCAGAGTGACTAGATTTTTTAAAGATTTTGTTCAAAATTCGATCAAATGATGATTTGAATGTTGTGACAAGGCTTCATACAAATATCGCATCAAATATGTGAACGCAAATTTGAAAGGAATTTGATTGTGTCAATTGAGCCTAAACAACTTATTAGAATTGTATTAGTTTACCGTAATAAATTTACTTTCAATATTCACCTGGCTAAACTGGCAAACGATAACATTTTTATTTCAGGCTACCTGTTAACATAATCTCGAAAGTTAAAAGCATGTTTTCTTATTAAAAATAATTTTGATAACATTTGAATCACTTCTCGTGCTTTGAGCTTTTACGTCCTGGTTCTAAGAACATTTATTTGTTAGGATTTCTTGTATATTTCTTTCTATTCAAACTATAAATTTAGATGAAACATTTTTACGTGTGTAACGAGAATGGAGATTTCAGTAGACTTACAGAAATGTATCTCACTTCAAACGCCGCAGAGCAGTATTTTTTAGAAATGCGTAGCACAATAATAATTGGTTTGTTCTATGAGTAACAGTTGAAATTAAAAAAAAAAAGAAAACTATTCTGGCCTTGGAATTTTTAAAATTGATATAAGTTGTACTCGCTGTTTCCATCATTTCTGAAACTTATTTTCTGACAATATAAATCAATAAATATTTCATTTAAAAAAAAAAATCTATACGCAAATTTTCACGTCTGTGCCTAGTGTTATGTATTTAGAGATATTATATGAAATACAGACACTGTTAACGTTTGTCATCGGGTTTAGGGGCGGGAGGAGGGGGGGGGAGAAAAACTTGTTATTCCTTGTTTCTATAGGAAATGTATTCCAACGTTTTCACGCCTGTTACATCATCGTACTTCGAGATATTGCTATTCTCATAAAATTTACAAACACTGTAAGTGGAGTGTCTTGAAAAATTTCTGCCTGGGGTTCTATCTTATTAAGTCGCGACCTTACGTACAAACTGTGTGCATATGGTACCACAAGTTCTTGAATTACCTAAAGTTTTAAAACACAACTAACATAGAAAAAATTATGAAATTTAAATAAAAAGAGTCATATTTTAAATTTAAAAAGACGTTAAAATAAGTTGTTTTTTTTTTATTTTTAGTAGAGAAACTAGACATTTTTTTTCTTCAAAATATCTAATTTAATTGCTATGTTTTTAATTCTAATAAATGTTAATGAATGATTTCACTTTCAAAAAAATTAAGCATTAAATCTAAGGGGGGGGGGTAACCCTTTTGTTTTATTAGATAGATAATGCACATTGCGAGTAGAGTTTGAAAAAAAAAATAATGTGAACAAGACACTAAAGACACAGCTCTTCAAACTCTACTCTACCGTCTCATTCTCACCACCATCCATTGACCGATAAACGATGCTCGCATCTGCTGGGTGCCGTCCATACTTAGACAGGTCAAATAGTTCTGGGGTAGGCGAGGTCAACACTTTTACAAAGCTGTTTTTTTTTTATTTTTAAAGGAAACAGTTTTTTAATGTCATGTTTATCGTTGCAAATTTTTAAAGTAAAGCGCGGTGAGCACAGCCCTAGTTTAGGATACCGTGCTTTATTAGACCACTAAAATAATCGTAAGAAAACATGTGTACTATAAATTATTTACAAATAGTTTTAATGAAATATGCTAATATTGATTTATTTGGAAGTAAACATGTAGGAACATATCAATATTTTTTTTTTAAATAGTTAATTAGTAAAGCTATCACTTTGCAATTTTAACTTCGAACAGAATTTGTCAAAAACACATGTACATAAAAAAAAAAGTTTTACGGCATAACAGTTTTCACAAATTTGTATATACTAATTTAATAAAACGCTATCAAAGCGATAAGTATTAGATTTACTGATTTGAGTTTCAAAATGCTGTTTCTCCATTTTTGGCTTTTTGAGATATTCGACTTTTTGGCTCAAACTTTCGGGAAAGTAATTTTTGATTTAGGTATATCTTCAAAATAAAAGTTACATTATGATGAAAATTTGAATGTAAAATACAGGCGAATGGCAGGAAGACTGCAGAGCAGATACGCAGACCGTGTGTGAGGGTTATTTTGGAACGTGTGAGAGTTTATTTACAGTAGATTCCTTTTCATTATTTGTACATTCTTGCACACTGTGTTTTATTTCGACATTGTTCTGCACACGGTAACGGCCACACAATATACTGTAAGTTAGTAGTTTTCAATTGTACTTCTTTTTTGACTTGTATACTTTATTATTAATTTAATAAAACTTATCGATTGCAATTAGCCCTGTTTCGAGTATCGTATTATTTGTTTTTTATTTCATCATTTGGTATCGTCTTTTGTTATGCACCGTTTTGGAACGAACCATATATGTAAATAGGAGATTACTTTCACCCTACAGACAACAGTGCGTTACATAATGTTCAAATCACAAATCATTTTATTTGAATTTAGAAGAACAACGAAATAGAAAATAAGCAAGAGTCTGATTCAGAGTGTGCATTATCTTCAATAGCAGTTTGGTTTTGTCCCAGGGAAAAGTTGACGCTTCTTATTTGCATTCAAATCGGAGGGCAACTATTTCTGTCCTTTGAGAACCCTTTCTTCTGTATTGGCTATCTCTGTATGTTAAATATTGATTGTGTAATAAATAACACAGTTAACTCTTTAAAAAAAGCTGTTTATTTTAATTTTCTTAACACTTCTGATGTCCAGTAACCATGACCATAATAATGTAAAGTAAACCTTAGTGGTTATTATATAATATAATAATATACATTGAAAGTGTATGGTACAGATTCAGAAGCAATAACATTATGTATCGATATAATATAATACCTAACAAAGAAGGCTTTTCTCTTCATAACAAAAAATTAAATGTTGAGAAATTCAATTAATTACATTAGAATCATGCTCCAAAACCCTTTTCTTTAAGTGTTTACCATACAATAAGTTGCTACACTAAAATATATACTGACATAATACAGATCAAAATGAAGCCTGGCAACTTTTAGTTTTTCTTCTTGACAGCATAAGAAGAACTTTTTGATCGTAATTCCCGATTTTTTCCTTACATCACCTTTAACTCTGGCCCTTTTGATTCTTTCCTCAGCATAAAGCTTGATAATATAGCAGAATATTGCGACGATTTGTCACATTTGTTATAAAGTTCTGCATAACGTGTCATTACGTTTTCATGTGTTATTGCTCATGCCTGAAAAATTCAATATTTTTTCTTTAAAATTAGGAATTTTTAATTATGTTTAAAAAATAATAATGATCTATTAAATTATTGAATTATAAAATTTTGTAAAATGTTAAATGCATTCATTGGCTTTTTTATTTTCAACCCAGCCAAAGCGTTACAATTTTAATAAATTATCCGTCAGATCAGCTCCATCCGCTAATACCTCAAAGTTACTGCAACAAAAGCCCTAGCCGCTGCTGTAGTTCTCTCTCGTCTTGACTATTACAACTCTGTGAGCTGGGGTACCACGCTATCTAAAGCCACTTATAATAATAATGAGATTAAAGGAATGCTATTTTTAGCAATAACATTTTGAATAAAGTAAAATTATGAATTAATTTTTCATCATTTATAAACAAATATATTTAATTAAATTACGTTATCATCGGATTTATGTGGTGGCATCGTTAATCTGAAAGTAAAAGAAAAAAAATTAAATACAAATTTAATGCCAGACGATGACGAACTTATAATTAACTTTTAATGAAATGAAAATACTCACGATAACATCAGAAATTAAATGTGGTATAGTAATTTGCTCATGATTAATGTTAAAACATACTAGCATAACAAAACTATTGTACATACATCCAACTAAATCTCCTAAAAACTCCTCCTCTTCCTTATCAACGTCCCAAATGTGTGTACACGTAATAGAAAGGCAGTGCATTCGTTTACAAAGTGGCATGGATAGGGATATGTTTATTAGCCTGACCTAGCCCATCAAGTAATAAAACATTCAACCCTCTATAATATTTTTTTTTGTGTGGAAAGTTCTAACTTCATTCTTTAACTTCTTCCTGCTTCTTTGTTAACTCTTCTGCCCTACCTTTGCATATAAGAGGATAGTGATGTACAACACGGCTGTTAGGTGAATTTCTTGCTTTGAGAACCCATCTCTTCCAAAAGATGCGATTTGCATTTCACTTGAATTAACTTCTGGTCAAAAGTGTCTACCAAACACTTCGACACACTTTGGTTGACTCTTTCACTGTCACTCAAATTAGCCTGAAATTATCGCATAATGGCATACAA